ATACTAATTTTGCAGGAAATATTTTGCGGGTCTCTGCTAGTCACTATAAATCTATATTGTTTTACAGTATTAATAGTTTCTCCACGTTTTTGTCAACCTGTATAAATGTACTAAAGGATATTTATTCCTGAACAAGTAGACAAGTAGAAGCATTACCTACTAATAAAATATAATGATTCACTTGTTGTTGTTTTTTATATTTACTCTTGTGTAAGACTAAGTTAACAAAGGAGTCAATTAAGAATTAATTTTATGTTTACATTGGAATGGAGGTTAATATCTATATCAGTAGTTATAATTAAAAGATAATTAATTTTAAAAACAAGTCTGTAATATGTTGTCATCACCTTATTATTCTATGTTGTCAGTTGAGAACCTTTCTAGAGAGAAAAGTTTATGAGAACTTCTAAGACAAACGAAGCTTGCTATGTGGAAAAAAAAATACTGAATGATGGCTTAAATTCATCAGTTATGCTCTAAAGATAGAAATAATTATGTTCAACAGTTTCATTTTGTATATGCTTTATAACTCTAACAATTAAACAGTCTTACCTTTAACATTTGGACATATATCTGTCTCATGGTTTACCAAATTATCAGATCAACTGCAGTTTACTGTTGAATAATTTCACTGCTGTACAAGAATGTAAGGCATGCATTATCATTACATCAGCAAATTATGTATGTATAAGAATAATGTTAAAATATACTGATGCTTGTGAGATGTTTTAATTTGGTGTACTGAGTGAACCTTGAAATAACTGTAGCAGAATGAAAGAATAATTTGTAATGAGTGCTATATCTTACTTATAGTAAAGAAGTGTGAAGTAAGATTAGCTAAATAAGAGCAATATAAGTATTTGATATTATACCACACATTCTGTTTGTCAACATCATCAGAAAGCATGCCATACATTCTCATATTGTTAGCAAAATTGTCCAGTGGCAAATTTCTAACAATCCATTAGAATGTGAGGTATAGATTCTTGTTCAAGTGTCACAGGTAAGACTCCATGGGTTACTTTTTGAACTACATTATACCACAATACCTTTGAATGTCTGGATTGTTGCTGTTTTTTTTTTATTATTATTATTTATTTATTTTCTCTCTTTATTTCTCAAATTATGGAAGTATGATAAATTGATTTGTTTTTCTATAAAGATATATATACATATATGAATTTTCTGGTAACTTGCTGTAGTAACAGGTGAAGTTTTCTAATTGTGAGCAATAACTAACGTTTATACCTATCAACTAATGAGTTACTTATTTTCATCTCTGTTTCCATTTGATGGTAATATCATTTCGTTTATGTATCCTTTATTATATGACATTTTATTATTTCTGTCATTTCTCACTTTCCAGCATATTAATTACAGATTACATGCTTGAACATATTTTGTCTTTGGGTTGACATCAGAATAATGTCAGCATGAAGAACGTACTTTAATACACCACTTTTGGAGGTCCCTTTTTGTATGATAATGACATCTTCATTCTGTAACTATTGGCTCAGTCTTTTATTATGTATTTTTATTTTACATTATTGATTCTATTACTTAAGTTTTTCTATTACACCTGTTGCTTTGAGTGAAAATACTCAATGACATTTGCGCCAATTACTTGTTTTTTATAGTTGTGGATTCTAACTATACAGGACATTACTAATGTGATCCAACTAACACTAACTTTTTTTTACATTATCTCATGTGTATGTACCATTGCATTTATTACTTTTTTTAATAAACTAAGATACAAACAACATGTAATCATATAATATACCTCAATAAGAGGGATATATGTGACAGTAGTGTGCATACAGTGGTAACAATACACCATCTATCAGATCTAACCTTTATTCTCAAGCCTTTCTTCTGAAATAAAATCAGAACTAAAACAAAAAAGCACAAGGGTGTTAAACCCCACATCTAAAACTACATCCATTTGTGTGAATAGTTGCTATTCATAAAACATAAAAACAAGAAAGAGAAATAAGAAATAACATAAAAGTAGAATAGGTTATTACAATTGTGTCATTGTGACTGGTAAGTAAAAATTATCAACTGGAGTTGGCATTGAGCCCCTATGATAGCCACATACATACATACATACATACATACACACATAAACAGCATATTAAAAACTAGATAAAGACTATTAGAAAAATTCAAGTACAGTTTACTTTTCAAACACTGTAGTTTGTTTGTACTGCAGCTTTATTTGTTGTATGTTTTTTTTAGTGGTGACTTTCTTTGTTGTTGATCTTATTGTCTGAAAAGTGTTATCAAATCTTCCAATTTTTCTAATAACAGTAAGTACTGATCTAGACACCCTAGGTGTCATTCTGCTGTTTGTACAGGTATGTGATTGAGGAGATAAATCCTGCTTGTCACCTATTTCCTGATACCCTGTTTTAGTTCTGTTCTAATTGTTTATTTCCTCCTTACTCTCCTCTTTCATTTGAAGTAACTTTTCTCTCAGTCACTTTAGGTGGTCAGTGTTAATTTTAGTTGTGAGATGTTGTAGG